ACATACGAAAGTGACCCAGATCGGATTTGAAAATATCGGATTTGTGCCGTTCACACTGTCATACCAAGATCGGATATGGGTCGCATAGGGTCAAAAAAATTGGATTTGATGCGCTTTCGCCTGCAGTGTGAACGTAGCCTAGGTTGTTCCCATTTGTGACTGCTGATAGAGGCTTGATCAGATATCTTTTAGACAGGCATCACTCGTCTCCAGGTCCTAAACATGATTCTTATCAAACGACTGTAGGTTTAATTTCCTGACTTATCAAACTCAAATCACTGAAATGACCTGGTAATAAAATAAACACACAAAGAAGTGCTGTACAGCCGCTGTAGGTTTCATTATCCAGTGAACGTATGGGGAAAGCATGTAAAGCAGTATGTTTGTTGTGTTTTCCAGTGCATCACAAACGCTGCCAGAAAACAGGGCATCTCCTCCTCGTTGCTCATGCCAGACAAGGTGCTGAATTTTGTCAAAGACCACTTCCTGATGGACAGCGTGATCCGCAGCCAGCCTCTGCTACTCAAGCGCAATGTCCGCTACACACAGATCGCCGTCCATCGTGTTCAAGCAGCTAAAAAGGTGTATAACGTGCTCTTCATTGGCACAGGTAAACAGCTCACCGCTCACAAACACTCTTCACCTGCACCGTTGTTTTATCTGACTTCACTTAAACTCTCTTCTCCAGATGATGGGAGACTTCATAAAGCCATTAACGTCAACAAGAAGATGCACATTATTGAAGAGATGGTGCTCTTCCGTGACTCTCAGCCGGTGCAGCACATTGAGCTGGACACTGAAAAGGTACACGTGGTGTTCGGAAAGAAAACGGTCCGATTTAATTCACAGCACTTTCTCATGGTTTAAACTAATGGGCTCAGTAAATTCATTTATTGGCAGTTTAGGGACTCCATGAGCCATTAAGAGTCGCAGCCTGCAGCGTACCCCGTGTTCAGTGAGCTAATTGCGTGCAACTTTCTCTCAGGGGATCTGCAGCTGGGGTTTTAACAGCTGGATTTGTGACACTTCCTGAATCCTGGCATGTGCTTCCATAGATCAGGGCAAAGGAATTCCTTTTAAAATGGATGAAAGAAGTCTACCACATTTAGATCAGGGTCACAAAGAGAGGACTCTGGATGAAAATAGTAACCCAGTATCAGTATTTGGGGCACCTCCTGACTGTCCCCTTCTTTGTCATCTGTCATCCACAGGGTCAGCTCTATGTTTCTTCTTTCTCTGAACTGGTGGAGGTCTCAGTAGCTAACTGCACTAATTATCAGAGCTGTGGGGAGTGCATCCTCTCCAGGGATCCTTACTGTGCCTGGAATGGGAAGCAATGTGTAGATGTCAGACGTGCTACACCAAACAAGTACGTATCCCGCTGCACAATATTTATTTTAGCAGCCAAGGCTTTCTGTGATCATAAACTGTACATAAAAGGTTGAAGTCCTGTTTGAAGCCTCAAATTTGGCAATTTCATTGTCACCATCTTGATGAACCAGGCATGAGGGATGCTCTACCCCGAATAATCATGTATTGTACTCTAAACAGGAAAACAATTTACCAAACAAGCATCGTGTTGTATTAAATAAGACTGGAAACTAGCAATTAAGACTATAAACCCACTAGGAAACTGTTTAATCCGCTTTACAATCTTTTGTTTGCGCCCAGATTTGCCCCCTGCTCGACATGAGAAAGAACACGGGTTTAAAGATCTTTCACACTGGATTCACTTTTCAGGCCCAGGGGCTCTGTCCTTCTTTTATATTCAGTCTATGCCTGTGATATGCAAATATTAGATGAGAGAGTGCATTTTAAAAAAAAGAAAAAAGATTATGATTATTATTTATGGTTAATTGTATGTGTTTCAGTGCCTGGCGGCAGGATGTAGATGAAGCAGACACATCAGCTATTTGCAATAAGACTGCGGCAAGTCCACGGTTTGCCAGACCTCCACCTACACGTATGTGGCCTCCTCTTCTCTAAGATTTACAGAGCACTCAACATTTCCGTGCTATGCCTCTCAAAATGAGAGTTGATTAAAAAAAACATTATTCTGTATCAGCCGCGTGGTACAGCCTTTTTTCACGCCATACCTGACTCATCTGCATTTTGACTTTCTGCAGGGATGTCGTCATGCCAGGTGATCATTATCCCAGCCAACACATTCAAAGTACTGCCCTGCAAGCTGCGCTCTAATTTGGCTGAAAGGAAGTGGGAGTTCGGTGAGAGCGCAGGTCATTTCCATTACCCCAGCCCAGAGGGGGGACTGGTGGTGGTAGCTCAAGCGGACAAGCAGGAAACATACGAGTGCTGGTCAGTGGAGGAGGGCTTCAGACAGCTTCTGGCAAACTACTGTGTGAGAGGCGAAGCCAAGGAGGAGAGCACCACCTTGACAGGCCGTTCACGTACGCCGCAGATCTCACAGGAGGAAATCATCATCCTGCCAGGGGAGGCCCGCTCGCCGCAGATCAACACAAAGACCTACTGGAACGAGCTGATCGTTGTATGCGCCCTCCTGGTGTTTTCCCTGGTAGTCTTCTCCCTTTTTGTGGTTTACAGGAACCGTGACCACATGAAGTCCATGCTGAAGGAGGGAGAGTGCCCGAACATGCAGCAGAAGAAGCCCAGAATAGTGGGGAAACCCGCTGAAAACTTGCCGCTCAACGGCAACACAGTCACAACCTCAGCTTCGGATCACAAGGGGTACCAGACCCTTAATGACAACTACATCTGCAGCACTCCACCGCACGAGTGCTCGTCACCTGATAACAGCAAGAGCTTCTCTGAATCGGAGAAGAGGCCTCTGAACTTAAGAGAGAGCCACGTGGAGATTTCACCCACGTGCGCCCGGCCTCGAGTCAGGCTGGGCTCCGAGATTAAAGACTCTATAGTGTGAGGCAGGCTTCATGTTATATGGAGTGACTGCTTTTGAACTCAAAGGAAAGAGTGCACTTGTTGAGAAAGACAAAAACATAAGAGGGAAAAATCAGCACTCTCGTGGAGAGACTTTACATTACACAGATTTTGCACTCTCTCTCTCGCTCCTTTTTCTTTCTTTTTTAATTCTGTCGATGTGGTCCATGTGCGTTTTATTTCGTTTTCCTCTCACCCTCTTATTCAAGTGCATTTGAAGCACACTGAAGAAGCTCCGGCTCGCCTTCAGACTTTCACGTACGGCTCACGGGAATGTAACGAGCATTGACATGGCATCGTGACCACGATTTAGCGAACAGATTTCAGAGAGTTGCCTTTCACAGTCCGTCCATATGACATGCCGGTAATACTCTGAAAGGCAGAGTGATGCTCGAACACGACGCCTGACGCAGTGTTTGCTGATTTATTTTCATTCTGCGAGAGTTTAGCCTTCACTGAGGTTGTGCACTATGTACTGTACTGTAGCAAGGTAAAGCAGAATCCACACGAACAAGTCAAAGACAGGCAAGATATACATACATATATATTAAAAAAGTCCTGTAATGTTTCTTACAGGATAGCCTGTGTACATTCACACAAGTACACTCATTATTTTAGAGTTAATTCAAACACAGCAAGAACAAAGAAATCTGAAAAGATGAAAGCAGAAATGCAGAAACTCTTACCACCTCAATCACTGCACTCCAAGAAAAGAGAGAAATGTGCTTTTTAAGTATTGCCATCTTTACTAGGTATAAATATTTGCCTGATGACGACTGACTTTAAGTTGTTAGATTTGTCTTGGTTTTCTTTCACCAAATATGATAAAAGGGAAGGGAGGGGGACTCATTCCAGGTATTATCACGCTATTCTTCATGAGATAGGCAGTCTATGCAAAGCAAATAATGTGAAGTGGGGTAAACACCGAGAAACACCTCACCTTGAGACTGAGTAAGCACAAAGGTGTTGGCACTGTTAATTACTTTAGATACAGTGGCACTACAAACACACACCCACGCAAAGAGACGCACACTCATTACACCGCAGTCGCAAGTATGCAAGAGATTTTAGCCATTTTGGTGCGTTTTCTGGAGAAAGATGATGCAGCCCTGAAAGGCTGGCGTGACAAAAACAGACGATAAAAGACGAGCGTCCGGAACGGTAATGTTAAATCTGCGGCAGGTCATTTATTGCAGCATGATGAAAGGTTATCAATATTTATTATCGTCGTTATTAATATTATTATTATGTGGCCAATAGGTTATTTTATGGAGACATTTTTTCACAGCTGTTCTGTCACTGAATCATACTGAATCTAAAACAAACACTTAAAAATAATGTGATTTCAATAACACACCTGTAGACTGCCACCTTTGATATAAATATAAACTGAAGAGTGTTGATGAAGAAAACGGCCTCTTAGGTGGTTGTAAAGGCAACCATTAAGGCAATAACTCTCATTGTCATTCAGTAATAAACAGGGGAATTGTTCATTTTACTGATTTTTCTCGCTTTAATATAACTAAATCAGATGATTGCGTAACTTGATAGCATTTCTCATGTCATCCAATATTTTTTATTCTTGAGTATGGCTCTAGTATTGTGATCCAGCCAGCAAAATCAATACTTCACAACAACAACAACAACAGAAAAAATGCGTACCTGAAGAGATGTATATGCCCATCGTGACTCAGAAAGCACAGGATTTGCACATCATGTTAGGAGCCTTAGTACACTGCAGGTTATGGATTTGGTTACAAATCTGCCTTGGGGGGAGGGGTGGGAATGGAGAATGCCTTCTGAAACAATAATCAAGAGATGTGCCTCTTGGGGATAATAAACTAACCAGGTAGTAGTGCTCTGGAGTCAAACGCTACACTGTAGGTGTGACAGGACTGGCCATACTTAAAAAAAAAAAACGTCAAAACCGTGAATACGTGTAATTTAATTGTGTCAATGTTGTACAATACGTGCTCATGAGAGGTGTCGTTTTATTTTACATTTTTGTTAGGGTGGCTTCAAGCGCAGTCAGGGATTCTATTTTATTCTTAAACTGTAGTGCATAAATAACCACTGGCTGATTTCTCTTTTCTTTTTTTTTTAAATATTAAAAAAAATATAAGCATTAGTATTATATTACATTTCCTATAAATGGCACTGCAAAACTGAATTTCAAAGACTAGTCAGCTATATTCACTCATGCAATATGAAAGACTCATGCTTTGACTGTTATTAAAAACAACAAGTGGCAGCTTTTGGTGAAGCGACTGTCATCAGAACAATATTAAATTTGCAAAGCGCAGAATAAATACGGCGTGGCAGTGATTTAGTCGAATATGTGCAGGTACTGAATATGTTTTTCTGTATTTGAATACAAGCCTACACTATTAATGCCACAGTGAAAGTATCGTCGTCTGCTCTCACTTATTGAACCACTATAGTCGGGCCTTCTTCTATTTGTGACAGTACAAGTTGCTCAGACTCTTGTCAACATGTATTGTAAGTAAACAAGTTTTTATGTAAAGTTGTTTTGTAAATTCAGCTGCCAATGTAAAAAATATTGTGAATTGTATTTTTTTGTATCATACATCACTACTGTTTTCTTTCTTTTTGTATTGTATATAAAAAGCACTTTATTTTAATTTTTCAAATAAAGATAAAATGGAGATTTTTGTTATTTGAAAGGCTCATGATTTCAGTAGGTTAACCATTTCCTTTCAGACAATGGTGCAGGTTTTTGCAAGAGCGTTGTAGTGGGAGACCTCAAATCTGGGTTTTAATGGGTCCATATGCAAGAAATTTTATTTTTTACCATCTAACATTTGATGCAAATACCAATTTGTATCATTTTCTGGTAGAAATTTGTTTATTTAACCTCCAGCTGGTTAAAAGGGAGCTTTCCTTTCCCACTGTTCCCAAGTGCTTGCTCATTAAGGGCTCATTTGATTATTGGGATTGTCCCTGTGTTATTGTAAGGTCTTTACCTCACAATATAAAGCGCGTTGAAGTGACTGTGAATCATGGCCCTAGATCCGATTTAAATCGCCCCTCGCTCCTACCTTAAAATGTATTATTTATGGACTGCCACCATAAACAGAATAAACTGTAATTTCTCTTTTTACCGCATGGCGGCAGCACCATCGGATATATGTTGCAGCTAATAACTACATAAATGCTTTATACACTCACACAATAGTAAGTGCCGTTCAAAATTAACCTGAGATACTGATATTCAGCAGCTTTACCAAGTTTCAGGTATTCCAGCTTGAGTTGGTACTAGGGCAACTAGGGAAACATCCCCCACACCATTATACCCCCATCAGCCTGAACCACTAATTACCAAGGAGGATGGATTCATGCTTTCATGTTGTTTACCCGAAATTCTGACTATAAAAGTTGAAAGTTGCTGCAAAAACAGAACAAAGCAATAGTTCCACTTTTCTCTTGTCCCATTTTGGTGACCCCGTGTGATTTATAGCCTTAGTTTTCTATTTGTGGCTGTCAGGAGCAGAGGTCGGTGTGATCCTTTGCTGCTGTAGCTCGCCTGCTTCAAAATTCATCATGTTGAGCTCAGAGACGCTCTTCTGCATTACTTCGTCATAACATGGTTTATTTCCTGTTTTCATACTATTAGCTTGAAGCAGATATTTAGCTTTCTTGGTACCTAAAACCATGTCATAGTCAAAGTCACTTAACTCACCCTTCTATATTCAGATACTCACTTTGAACTTTCACAATTGGCGCCTACATAACTAAATGCACTAAGTTGCTGCCATGTGATTGGCTGATTAGGAATGTTGTTATTTCAAGGAACACTTATTCTAAATAAGTGGCCAGTGACTTAAAAACGCTGCTGCAGTCCCAGCTGGAACAAACTGTGGGCCCCAACTCTGAGTACAGGTTACCGCTTTTCCTCTCAGGGTGTTGTCAGAAACTCTGCAAACCCAGCCAAACAATGGTGCGCAGGTTATCTGATAAAACTCTCACATGGAGCACACACACCTTAAAGGCAAACACAGGTAAGCACCTGCGTTGTCTGTTGTAGTTCTATTATATCGCAGCGTCACTGCAAACATACATGACATCTAACTCCAGTCCAAGCCAAACGAGGAGGCACATTAGGGTCCATTGATTCGGCTGGTACCCGCCTACAGGCAGGTTTGGACCAATCCTCTACAGTAACTCTGAGACGATGGTGGGGGCTTTTATTTTGGCTCAAGTTTGTTAAATTCTAACATTTTCTGGATTATACTTTATTTTTAAACCAGTAACTATGGAGCGACCCAGCCTTCGGAGATTATTCTCTGTTTGCGACGTGAACAAGTCCGGTAAGATCGAGTACGAGGACTTTACTGTAGTCTGCCGGGAGCTCAGCGTCCCTGAAACCGAGATCGGGACTCTGTTTGACAAGTTTGACCCGCACGAAGACGGATACATCGACTACAACAGGTTTTCCTCCAGGTTTCAGGAGGTTTCGGAGACTCTGGATCTGGCGTCTTTCGGCGCAGGGGCATCCCAAGCACAAGACTCCCCCTGGGAAGAGTTTGAAGACAAGGCAGATACGAAATCCATCCTTACCGAAAGGTAAACTCACATCCGGGAAGCTCCAGTTTGCTCTACCCGTATTCTGGCTGGAAATTACCTGGCCAGTGGGTACTGCTGCCCCACTGTTAGCTTTGTGCTGCACTGATTAGTCATGCGGTACAGGTGTGTACTGGAAGAATAAACAAGCTCACCCTTAAAAACGATATACAGCTTGAATGTAATCAAAAAACACTGGACGTTTATACTAAGATAATAAGTATATACTTAGCTCAGTGTCTACGTCCCATAACTTTTGTATCGTCACTGATGTCATCTTTCTTAGTGGCAGGGGCGTTTATAAAGGATTTTTAAATGGGGTGCCACTCGGAACCAAGAGGAAGCCGGAGGGAAGTACAGGAAATCAGAATATTTGTCAGAAAACATGCGATGTATTAAAAACTGCTGACGCACATGAGTTCAAATAGTGGTTTATACTGAATAGGTTAAGTGGTCAAAGTGGTAAAGTTCATTCTAAGTACTAAATATACCTAAAATGCCTAAAGTACTATGCACAATTATATTGCTGGACTATTACTGATTAACTGATATCAGGGCACTCAGCGAAAGACTTGGAAAAAAAAGAGACTTTGTTGCATTTGTGACTTTTTTTTTCCAAGTTTTTATTTGTATGTAGGGTTGATGTTTAGGGGTTAGATCCCATGACTGGCTGGGAGAAATGTGTGTGGCTCTATGACTTAAAGGAGAGGTCAGGCCAGTTTATGGTTTGGATGTAAGTATATGGTTTCACGCACGATGAAGTCTTAATTAATGCATAAATCATTTTAGCACCATCTGGCAATTTTCTTTACTTACTATAATTCTATATGTTAAATATTATTATTATTATTATTATTATTATTATTATTATTATTATCATTATTATTATTAATAATAATAATAATAATAATAATAATAATAATAATAACAATAACAATGATAGAAATAAATAGCTTTACATTAAATGGTATGAAATACAAAGTACAATATTTGTATAGAAGATTCAAGGACATTTACTCAAAGTAAAATATTAGTATTTGTAATAAGTTACATTTCAGTATTGTATTATGTGACTCAACACTGTAGAAAGAAAAAAAGAAAACAATACAGAAAAATATAGTTTAAAAAATGCAACTATCTTTAAGCATAGCTCAGCTTGGCATTATATTTGTTACATTATTTCTAAATGGAAGTTTTCACAGTTTTCTCTAATGGTGATCAGTGACACACAGAAACCCAAACTGTTTTAGATCTGTATAGATCTTCTCCAAACCTAGAAAAGCTAGATTTTGCTATCTTGCTGTATACTAATGAGATCTAGAAACTTTTTTAACACTGAGAAAAATGTCCTAAACGTAGCTCTGTACACCACATCAGAGTAGATTTCAAACACTCAAGATACAAACTGATGTACTAAGTTTTATCTTTTAATTGAAGGGTTGAAACAGAAATTACAGCACTATTTTGCCAAAAGATGTTTACCTCTACCTTTTTGTTTCACCAATTTATTCCACAGTGGATATCCATCATGAATGGTCTGTTGCACTGCTTTCTCTTTCTGAAACGATCAACTTTTAACACCTATCTTTTAGCCCTCCAGGAGTTTATAATTTGCTGCTAAAACCATATTTTAGTCAAAATATGCAACTGAAAACATGTCAGTCAGCAGGTGGTTACTAACTGTTGTGTTGTCATAGTTTCAGGGAGCAGCTGGCCGATCTTTACAAGGCCATTCACTCCTCTGCAAACATGACTCTCCTGCAGCAGTATGAGGAACTTATCCACTCCCTCATCAGCCAAAGCCTGGACAGCAGACTTCAGTGTGAACAGCTTGAAACCAGTCTGAAGCGGTAAGAGCAACTGTCCTGCGTGTGGTCAGTAGATTTAGGAGGAGCTTGTAAAGTCAAATCAGTATATAACAATCAGCAGGAAGTCACAGCACATGGGTCCCAGTGATGATATGAGCAGATATGAAGTGGCTGCCCTCTTGTGGATGCAGTTCAAGTGCATTTTTAATGTGGTTTACTATCTAACTGCTGAAGCTGCTAAGTGTTTAACCCTCCGGTCTTCACTACTTTTGTCAGTGTGCAATTTGCATATTTTCTTAAGCTAATTGTTTCCCCCAAATGAGCTAGAGACACAACAGCAGAGTTAAATGTTTATCTGGGCAGACTGTGAATCTGTGCAGATTTCAACAGTTCTGATTAGTGGAGATCTAACTGCTAGTTGACCCTTCTGATGTTGCTGCAGTCTCATATGCCATCTGTCAGTTGGCTCATCAGTCACTGTTCTGAAATAGAAAAATAATAATAATAAAAGCACCTCTGTGATTTGGATTAGGGTGTTCTTAGTATAACACTGCCAGTGGTTTGCATACACAAGGTCTTCCTCTATCCTTCTCTGATGTGGGTGTCAAACTGTGCTTCTGAATCGCCTCCTGACACAAAAACTTCCTTTTATACAACAAAGTCTTTTTGCGAGATATTAAACCACTTTTACATTCAGATCATTTAAAGTTTTGAAGTATTTTATGCTGTGTTGCAGGTATAGCGAGCTCTAAATACCACCGATTCCTGTACTCCCCAAATGAGGGGATTGTGAGGGGCTTTTTTGTGCTTTGTTTGAAGACGCTAATCCTAAATTTAAAGAAATCATCTTTTTTAGGTTCAATTCTCTTCTGTGTAGAGCCTGTCCATGCATCATGCTGCTGCTCCACTGAATGCCAAACTTTCCTGCAGCTCCTTTGAAGTCAATTCAGTTTTATTTATGTAGTGCTAAATCACAACAAGAGTTGCCTGAAGGATTTTTGTAAGGTAAATCCCCAACACTAATAAAGAGAAAACCCCCTATGAGCAAGCACTTAGTGTCAGTGGGAAGAAAAAACTCCTTTTTAATAGGAAGACAGGATAAAAGACACACTGTGTAAGCGAGCCAGAGACGAATAAAAACTAATAATTGAATGCAAGGTGGTTCATAAATACATGGAGAGTGAAAGTGGGTGAGTGAAGAAATATTGCACCATGGGTAACACCCATCAGCCGAGACTTAACTATCTCAGCTTTTTCCCCTTTGTTTATCTGCTCCGTAAATGTGCAGCTTTATCTGATGTTTTTCTTAGTAGTGACACTCGTAGGTGTGAACCTGAGTTCAAATGGTTGTCTGTCTCTATGTGTTAGGGATAGGCTCCAGCCCCCCTGCAACCCTGACCTGGATAAGCAGAAGAAGATGGATGTTTTTACAAAAAAGTTGATGCTGCTTAAGGTCTACAACCAGTCCTGATTGCTTACTTTGAGTAGCCAAACAGTGACTTTTAGTAGTTTGTGTCTTAAAGGGTTAATCAAGGTTTGACTTCAGCCTTTTTAATAATTTCCTGTAAAGACAGTCTGTTAAGCCATGGAATCTCTGTCATAACAAACAAAAGTGAGTGTGTCTCTAAGAGCTTTGTGTGCTTCACTAATTGCATGGAATGGGAAAGTTAACATTCCTTTCTCAAGGAAGTAGGAAGACTAAAATTTGCTGCCCTTCCCAGTCGTTTAATTGTTTCATAGCTTGGGTATTTCCATCTGTTTCCATTAGTTGTATCTATAAAGTAACCTTTTCCCCACATAAAGTAGAATAAATGTGTGTGGGCATCTAATTAAGAAACTCCACTGGCAGTAATCAGTACCTCCGTAGCAATCACCTGGATTCTGTCCCTCCCTCGACTCTGGTTGGCTCACGTGTTGTCTGAGCTGAAGAGCGAAGCCACAAGTGTAGCAGGTTTCAAGTCAAATCAGTCAGCTAGATCAAGTAAATGGACTCTTCTGGTTTTATGTGCTGCTCCTTTTTGTATTCGGATTACTGTTGGAGGATCTGCTTTGACTGAGTGTGCTTGAAGCTGCCAGGATGGACTCAAACAGACTTTTCTGTTCAAACAGAGCCGAGGGCTTAAATCACAGTCAGCTGACAGAGCTGGAGGACGATATACAACAACATCTCGCTAGGACGGAGGAGAGGGCGAGAGACGAGGTGAGTGGAATAGCTGCAGGGTTCATAGTATGTGAAGCGTTGCTCCTGTGATTTACTTCAATACTTAGAAGTTAAACATAAGAAATTTCATCATGAAAGCAAGGGTATTTAATCAATAAACAGCACGCAGACAAGTGGACTAAATGATTGCATTTGATTCCCTGTTGAAGTGGAAAGATTGCACGCGTTCCTCAGTATTTCATGTGAGCTACCTGCAAATTTGTGGCACAGCCCACAGCAGCTAGTTACATGTGTTTTCACAAAGAGCCTCTGTAAAGTCACATGAAAGCCCCTCTTCAAGGCCTGAGCTGGCCTGCACTTCTAACTGCTTCGGTTTCACAGGAGAGAAAGAAAATGGAAGAAATTATGGCCGGCTTGCAGAGGAGGCATGAGAATGAAGTTGCAGACCTGCATGCCAGTGTGGAAAGACTGTTAAAGGTAGGTTGTGTTTGGTTTTTTTCGTATTTCACAGACAGCTGTCTACTTTGTTCCCCCATGATGTTCTCTAACAACATACAAAAAGAGAAGAAAGCCTCTGTATCTGAAAAGCAACACACAAGCTCTTGTAGGATGTCTAGCTGCTGCTGCTTGCTTTCTGGGAAAGTGTGATGGACCGTGCAGACAGATAAAGTCTGCTCACTACCTTTCATCCACAAATGACAGCATTTCCAGAAAATGTCAAGATTTCGCTTAAAAACAAGACTTTTTACTCGTGCATTTTGCTTCTCCGTTCACATTAGACGTAGCAGAAAATGTAATGTAAACATACACATTTGTGGTTAGCTATACAATAAGTTGGCCTTGGTGATTTGAATAGTGAATAAAAATACAGAGGAAAGATGAATTGAATAAAGGAGGAGACAAAAAAAGAGGGAAAGCAAGTATCCAAGTATTTTGGAGACTAGCTGCGCTCATTCTAAGGCTTCATATTACGTGCATTAACATAGATGTAAAAGCGCACATTGTATAGACACTACCTGTACTGTTCAATCGAACCATGCTGGAGGCATTTAAATGCATAGAGTAAATGAGGCATAAAAAGTGAAGCCAGAAATTCACTCCACACCCATTTAAAGCAGGAACTGGCCAAAACCTTTTTTTTTTTTTTGGCTTCTTGTAGCGAGTTGTCCCTGTGTCATGGCAAACAGTGATTGCCAGTGTCTGCTGAAAATTATCGACTTTAAAGTGTTGTAAAGAACTTGTTGTCATAATTTGTCAGACATATCTCACGGGAGTTATGTACATGTGTGATTTTTAACTTTCCTGTCACAAGTTAGAAGCTGACATCAGTTTTTGGATTTTTAGATATGCTTTTAATTATCCTGGCAAAAAGACTCGCTGAGATAAAAACAAATCTTTTTTAAAGAGAGGTGTGGCAAGGAGGGAACGAGAAACTGCAACAAATATAACAGTTCTATGAAAATATTTCAACTGGCAAAAAGGACTGACCTGATATAGAATATAGAACAGAGCAAGTTTGATAATGCAGAGTCATAAGGATGCCTGCAAAACGGGTCATTTAAAAACAAAAAAAAAACTATGTGTAACCCCTTTATGTTGACTACAGCCTATTCACAGCCAAGCGTTTTTTGATTAAACACATGAAGCAGCTCTTTGCAAAAATATCAGTTAGTGTTACAGTACCCAGCTGTTTAAAAGCCTTTAAGAAGCTACAGCGTCACAAAAACGCACCTCTATGTGGCTTACTGTAGTTAATCTACAGGCCACACTAGCATTTTGAAAAATGCAAAAATATGATTGCCACCTCATGCAGCATATGTTTTGTCAGACAAATTTCCAGTGTCTGTGACTATTGTGCATGGTGACCAACATCAGCCCGGTCAAATAAAGACTCTCTGATGATTCACTTAAGCCTTTTTGAATTTAAACCTTCAGCAGAAGTCATCTTAAAAACATCTACTTAAGTTTTTGACAGTAATTCCTGGTAATAATTTCCTATCAACGAGGAAGACGAGACATTATTACGTGAACTTGCAAAGTAAACAAAACAATGCAATTAGGTTATTATGTAAGACATGTAATTGGAGTACTGTTTAGCTTTAATAGTAAGACTCCTCTGTATTGCAATAGTACCAAATGTCTGCTTGGCACATACAGTATAGTGGAGGCAGTTGGTTTCCTTGTCCTGTAGATGGTGAACGTGATAGATCAGCTGCTCTTACACAGCGTTAACTTATTGTGAGCATACAGTTTGATGGATATAAGATGGATATAACATTAAGACCAAATCTTAATGTAACTGCTTTTGTTTTTTTTAATTGATTTAAGAGTAAAGAAGACTCTGAACTGAACCATTCAAAGGAAGAGATGCTCAGACTGAGCGGACAAATCAGCAATCTCTCACACGTAAGTCAAACTACAAGATTAGTCCAATAAATCCCAAAATGTTTTTATCTTTATTTTTATGTTGTCATTGACCGAATCTCCTCACAGGAGAACGAGCAGCTACGCGGCTCTCTTCTGCAAGCCCAGACAAACATCGCCATCCTGCACTCAGAGCTGGACAAGCTGAAGAACGTGTATGCGGATCAGAAAGCTCAACATGAACGGTAAAGCTATTGTCAGACCTGACCTGACGATTCTGACGCTCAGAAACCACAATCCATATAAGGTGTGTGCGTCCTTTCACAGAGAAACGGAAGATTTGAAGAGGATGGCTATGGAATACCAGTCGTACTCCAGTCAGATTCAGATTCTCCAGTAAGTCTGCCTTTAAGCTCATAATAATGTGTTTATGCTGACTTTTTAAAACAATAATGTAATGACTCTAGTTAGTACTTTCAAGCTCTTCTACGTGAGTAAATAAAGCACACAGGTTTGGCAGTGTCACTCCTGTTTGACATTTATGAGCTCTATATAAACAACATGAACTTGGATTTGAGAATCCAAGTTCATGCAAATATTTATTGCTTTCCCTACGATGTAATAGAAGAGCCAAGTACCTCCTAAATGCCTCTAATCTTTCTAATCTAGTTGTATGAGTCTGCCACTTATCTGGACTAACTGGGGGTAACAGAATAGTGGGATTTTTGCTATTTGCATAATGACTGATTTTATTAGTTGAATGGTAAAACCTTTAAGGCAGACTAATGTGAACGCTCGTGTGCTGTCTCACTGTGAATTCACTGGACAGCTACTAAAGTGGCCAAAGGTATGCCGCTCCTGGGGATGTTGCGTGCTTGTTTAAATTATGTCTTTAGAATAAAAACTACACACAAACAATAGCATTGACTGACCATTTATAAGGAGTGTTTGACTGCTTGACAATCCCATACAGTAAAGTAAGGAAGTGCAATAATTGTATGTGAATGTGACTCTCACGTATTTCCTTAAATGCATCATTAGGGAACTGAATAAAAAGCTGTATGACAGTAATGACGACCTGCGCTCGGTATTGGCAAGTGAAGCAGTTGCAGCTAAAAGAAGGGTAAGTCTCTTTTGTTCTAATAGCATGTTTCCCTATACCCTCTGGCTCTGTCAGGTAGAAGCTCACAGTCAACTGTTTTCATGAGTTTAAGGTGTTTTTTTGGGTTTTTTTTCTCCCTGACTTTCCTAATCTGCTCAACAGCTGTCTCCCCAAAATGAAATCCCAGCCAGGAGAATGAAACCCCTCCGACAGAGCACGCTCAACCATAGCGGGTATATAAAGATTTTTACACACCTGTATGCCTCTACCGATTGATGTCTATGCACTTAAGTGTCACATCTAAAGCCATAGTTTGCGTCGGGTGTTTTCGTACAGCTTGGAGGTCCCGAGCAAACTGACCTACTCTCATGTGGCCACCTGGGCCGATAAATACCTGGACAGTGGGGTCTCCCTGCCGATGGACACAGCTGAGAGCTCGGGCAGTGACTACGACAGCGACGACAGCAGAAGCTCGGTGGAAACTGTGCACTTCAGTTACTCGTGTGTCCCATCTGACATGGAGGTGGGGGACAGGTCCAGGATCGCTCGATGCCAATACGCTCCTCTGCTCTCGGGACATTGAATTTGTGGTTTTTCTTACAGATATCAGAAGTGAAATCTGAAGCTGCCGTGTCAATGGCTCCGAGTATGGCCACCTCCATCGCTTCTTCCCTACGAAGACGTTTATCTGCCTTTTCTCCAAAGGTAAACCGGTTCTTGATTTAAAGTTTTTGCATTCCCACTTTTCCTTTGGTTTCTTCTTTGGTGTTGTGTTTAGCGTTGCTCTTTCTTGTAATTTTGTATTGATTTAAATTTTAGTTTTGTGTGCTGCGTAGTCTCATTTCTGAAAGGTAACTAAATGATGCTTGCTTTATATGGTCAGTGTTGGGTAACCTTGTTATCTTATGCTCCCTTTAAGCGGCCGTTGGAAGCAGACATGGAAGCATGTGATGAGCCCACCCAGATGTACCGCCTGGTTTTAGCGGGAGACGCAGGAGCGGGGAAGTCCAGCTTCCTGCTGAGATTGACCCTTAACGAGTTCAGAGATGATATTCAGACAACACTGGGTGCGTGCCATGGCAAACATATCTTTTGATTAAACACTGGCACTCGCTTGAGCTCAGAGATATAAATCTGCTTTTCTTTTCTTTTTTGTTCCCAGGGGTTGATTTCCAAATGAAGAGGATGTTGGTGGATGGCGAGAAGACAAATCTGCAGATCTGGGACACAGCGGGGCAGGAGAGGTACAGCACCTCCATGAGAACCGTTTAATGAAAAATGTGAAAATGTGCTGCTATCATTTTGGTTCTAACACATGTAAACCTCTTTAATTATTGACTCAATTAAAAGACACTAGAGTAAAATGAGTTTTTATGTTTATTTTAGGTTTCGTAGTATTGCCAGGTCTTACTTCCGTAAAGCTCACGGAGTCCTGCTCCTCTATGACGTGACTTCAGAAAGCAGCTTCCTTAACGTCAGAGCATGGGTGGATCAGATTCAGGTAACTGCAGTGGTGACGATCAGTTGTTGAAAAGATGACAAAAGAAGCACTATTTAAAAAGTAGGAACAGAATCTATCGTCTGCTTTGTTTCCATTAAGGAGTCAGCGGAGGAGAAAATACCCATGTGTGTTATTGGAAACAAGGTGGACCTCCGAGGGGAGCTTCCTGAGGGAAGCTGTGTGAGCAGTTTGCACGGTGAAAAGTTGGCCAAGGTGTGTTATTTTTTATTTATTTTTTTTTCTCCATTTCACCTAGTGGAAAAGTATTTATACAGACACCTGGCGTCTAAGGTGTCTAAGTAAACTGAATGCACTCAGGGATGTCGGTGCTTTGCTTGTAGACGTACGGTGCCTTGTTCTGCGAAACGAGTGCCAAAGAGGGTACAAACATCACAGAGGCTGTGCTTCATCTTGCAAGGTAGGAGGTCGGAGAGAGAGAGTTTGAGTTAATTTCTTTGCTCGTTTTTTGCTTGGTAACCCGTGGCAACACTCCTGCCTTTTTACTTTCACACAGAGAAGTGAAGAAAAATGTCAAACTGAGGCCGCAGTCAGACTCTCAGGTCAGACTGAATCAAATCAGCCCAAAGAAAACTCTTAACAACTGCTGTGGACTGTAGACGACTCATGTCTGTACAGAGCAACGAAGGACAACGTGCTACTTTTATTTAATAAATGTCAAATTTTAAAAACTGTTATATGTATTACTATAAAAATCCTAAATGTACTTTTATTATTTGATCAAAATGAAGGTTTCTATTGTGGGAATATTGCACATGTGCAAATATAAATGTACAACATTATATTTCTTTTAAAAAGTTTTATTTATTTGGTAGGTTATTTTTATAAAATAAGCAACAGTGTTTACATTTTCATTTAATGTAAGTATTTTAACTGTAACTGCCAGATACACAAACACTTTTTTTCGATCAATGCACTATTTTTTTTTTTTTCCCCCCCAGATTTCTTTTCTAGAGTTGCATAAGAGGGGGAAAAATATTTAATTTTTTTGTTTTCATCGTCACTGTAAGCAATACTACATTGCGGGTTTATCGCTTGTACTAATTGAAGGATTTATCTGTGTGTAAATAAAACTGCTTGTAACTGGGTTTTTTCTTTACAAAAGTCTCACATCCACTAATTTTTTTTGGGGGGTTTTTGTTGAACATCTGTGATAGCGGAACATTTTCCAGGCCCCATTATTTATAACAAAGAGAAATGTAATCCTTTTTCCAAGTGAAACAGACAGAACTGGAAAGCTGAGAAGCTTCTGTCGTATCGATCAGCAGAAACCTACTGAGAACTCTGTTTTATTATTCGTTTTTCAGACGAGAGCTTTTTAGTTCAGGCTCCAGTGCTGTCGTGTTGAATCAACAGCAGAAAACTCTTTTCATATAAACTTATTAGATGACTCGAGACCAAACTCTGCTCCTGCATATGAAGATGATGATCTTCGAACTACTTCCAGCAGAGGATTTCAGTTTCTTGCAGTCAAAATCATTGACGTCACCAAACTGCCCAGAGCCACCACCAGAGCTCCAAGTATAAATTTCCAGGAAATTCCCTAAAACACAACAAAAACACCACGGTAGTTCCGGTCAATGCCAGATTCGTGGCAATCACAATTTAAAAAAAAAAGTAGTAGTAGATATAATCACAGCTTACAGATGGCTTCTTCTTTGATGGGATCAGGAAAGGTGCAATATTGTCTCCAAGCATCTCTGCTGGTTTGGGTTTCCACTCTTGGGTTTCTTTGCCTCCAGACTGCCTTTTGACAAGTTTAGATAACTCAACATGGATTGCCTGTAAGGGGGGGGGGGGAAGATGCTTCTAGTAAATAAAAATGAAACGCTCAAAGGGGGAAGGTGCAGTTTTAAAAGTGTCCAGCAGGTGAAAGCAGAGATCTGAAAGTAAAGTAGACCTTTATGCTAAAGACCAGGGAATTATGAAAGTCACATTTTAAACTTTATACCAACAGCTTTGCACTTGTAACCAAATTTCACACAGAGGACCTTTTATATTTTTTAAATGGCAGATTTATCATCGGAAAACTGTAGCTCGCCATAAAAAGTAAGCCATTTTTCTTATTTTCAGTGGAATTTCTGATTTTTTTTTTTTTGGGTGACCCACCACTACAGAGTGCAGTGCACCAACTTTCTCACAGAGCAGCTAAATCAGGTTTCTCTAAAGCATTTCATCCACTGCTGGGACAAGCGTGTAATTACCAAAGCAGCAGATATTTTCGTTTTGTCTAGACAAGACCAGGCATATTTGTGACTGTGGCAGTGCGCCCTATAGATCAGGTCACTGTAACATTGGCAGAAATGTACTCCTCACACTCTGTAGATCAGATCCTGCGGTGCTGGAGTAAGCAATGACCATAAACTAGGATTAATTCAAATCTTTGCAGCATTTGTACATTTCTCTGCTGTAGCTGAAAAAGAGGACTTGGTTACTCTCTCCGCATTACAAAAATTTAAGTTATGTATGTATGTGGTATTTTTGCCAAGATTGCAAGAAAGCACTTAGTGATGTGGTCACATCTGTGGACTGCCAGATGTGCAGTTTGCATGAGCCTCTGTGGAGGATTTGGCAGATTAAACAAACCACAAAAACAAGATGGTACAGGCCTCAACACAAAGAGTTCACCAGGGTTCCTTCAGGCTGATGTGGAGCAAATTTATTTAAAAGCTTCTAAACTTTAATATTCAAAATAAAGCGGTTATGTCCATTTGTGTGAATGTGAGAGATGGTAATTTATCCCGTATCCAGGGTCAAATGTTTTCATGTATTAAAAAACTGGAGATTTCATAGGCATTTAAAAAAATATTGTCAATTTAAATAAAGCGGAAACCTTTTTTTTTGTTATCAACCAAAGATTTTTCTTACATTTGTTTATATTTATTTAAGATAAGCCTAACTGTGCATGTTGGGATTAAATAAATCAGTTGCGTTGTTGCACGTTGGCATGGCGATATCAGCATATTGCCCAAAGCGCAATTTTGCTCAAGTATAGCCTCAGAGCGCTGCTATTATACGAGCCCGTGCTGTTTGATGGTTGATCGTTTATAATGTAATAATGTAAAAATATTTTAACACATGTTGAGCGTTTAGTACGGAGCTGAATTTTTCTGAATAATTGCACGAGGCCTGGAAATTATTTATTCATTCGCTGTGCAAGTGCAAGTTTAACAACAGCACTCGACTCTGTCTTTACCCTTGAAATTATAATATGCAGAGCTTTTTAACCTCAATAATGGCACATTCGAGAGGTCCTTTTTAAAATAAAAACACATCATTTAGACCGACTGGAGAGTATTGGCAGCCAGGAATAATTTTGGAGCGACCTCTCCCCTGTTTTTTCATTCTTTTTTTTTATGTGGGAGGGATTCACAGGCAGCCTTGGAAGAAGGACCTGCTCACCCATATCATCTCACCTTGGTGGCTGGCTCCAGTTTCAAGGCCTTTTTTAGCACTTCCATAGCCTCTTTGTATTCACTCTTGTCAGACAGGAGCTGAAAGAGATTAGAAACCCTGCAGTGTGAGCAGAGCTGGAGGAAGCATAAATCAAAAACTGACAGAGAGGAAGATAGCAATATTGTACCTACTATTATATACCCACAAAAATAATAAAAAGCTAACTATATTAACAAACTCCTCTTCCTTCCAGGAAACCTCCTTAAAATTATAGGTTGCGAGATTCAAATTAGATGCTACACACTGTCTATACATCCTCACCTTTCCTACCCTGAAGAGGGCCTTGACGTTGTTTGGCTCGAGGGTCAGAACGTCTCGGCTGGTGTGCAGAGCCTCGTCAAACTGCTCCAGTCTGACTTGAGTGGTCGCCAGGTTGTTCAAACACTTCACACGGTAGTCCTGCACCTCCTCCTCCTCTTCCTTCACACCAACATCATTACCATCTGCACAGGGAGAGACGCATGGCTTATAACATACCCTGCTGCTTCAACTGTAGCTTTACAATCATTAGATTGAATTGATCCCACAGCCCAAAAACATGCATGTAGGGTTAACTGGCAGCTGTAAACTAACAATAGATGTAAACGTGAGGGTGAATGACTGCCTATCTGTAATATCTTGACTGTCAGGGAGAAACTCGGTGCTATTTAGTGCTATTTTTGCATTCAGCTGGATGCTTTATCGTTGTCCTGCATGGTTTTACCATTAGGCTCAAAGATGTCCAACTGGCTTAAGCAGTGACTGAAGTAATGAGAACTGGTTAGTGCAAAGGGATTTTACTCCTGGCCCTGAGCATGATGGGTGATAAATGTTAGCAGCTTAGGGGCTACATTTTTGTGAATGTGCCACGCAAATGCGCCTGAGCAAGTTGAACAAACGTCTTGGATTTACTGCGCCTGTTTTTGCCTTTAAAAACAAAAACTTATCAGAAATAAGACAGTTATGTTTAGGAAATTATGTACATCACGCATAAACAGGGGGAAAAAAACAACCAACTTTTGCATCCATTAAGCTGATCTTTTGCCAAAGAGTGCTTTGGCTGTCAATCGTGAAAAACATGCAACTTAGTTTTACTGAATGAAGCATAATACATGCTGTGCCCAAATGGCTAATCGATTTGCAACACGACAATAGCTAACCAAATATTTGCATGTCAGGATTGTGATGTGGCAATTTGCAAAGAAAACAAATCAAAATCAGTTATTTTAAATGTGATCTGACAATAAAGAGGACCGATGACTCTCATGCATGGACCCATTTTTCACAAGCTAATCAGTGTCTCAGTGTCAGTGTCAGTGTCAGTGTCTCAGTGTTAACTGTTCAACCACTATTTCATTTTCATGCAACTCACATCATAGCAATAACTATCACAGACTATAGGCCACCCATCCCCACGCTCACACTGCCCCTGATGACCCAGACCCTAAAACACTTCAGTTTGTCTCAGCACTCGCTCCTCTCCCTCTTTATGTGCACACCTGCTCTTGAAAAGCGCTGTTACAGAGAAAAAGGGGTTCATAATTTTATGCATTTTGTGGCTTAATTGGGGAAGCAGTGACACACTGTCCCCACATATATGTTAATTACTTAACAAAGCATTTTCAACACAGGAAAGCTGAGGAAGCATTGAAAGCAGTGTGATATGAAATAGGCATCACACTACGTGGATGCTGTGCTCGAGTCCAAGTGAAAGGCGCTTGGGCTCACCTTTTTAAACAGCACCTGGACGCATCAAGCAGCGGCCACACTAACAACACGCACTGCACTTCATTGTGCTCGGACAAGGTATGAAACAACTGTTTGGTCTCCAGTTAGCTGCAAATATTTAAGCCAAAACATGGGGATCATAGTGTTTTGCAGTGTTTTATACAAAGTTATTAGGTTCTCTATTTTGTTGTAAACTGAATGTATAATAAAGATGTGCAGTCCTGCAAATTTTGGCATTGATCCAATATCAAGTAAATGCAGGGCCAGTATTGCTGATACCAATACCAATAATGATATTTTAACATATAAAAGCAGCTTATGTGGCTTTTGTGTGTGTGTGTGTATCATCGTACATTTACCAAATTCTAACTCATGTATTTTGAAACTGTGTTTTTTGGAGACCTGCTATGCAAATGCGCCTGTTTCTAAAACTCCAGCTCCAACTTGTGTGGGCTACATACTGAACTTAGAGGATAGAATCAAAGTATTGATTCTATCGAGCTAGTGTCGATCCGAAAACAATATCAGTGTTGGTATCAATGTGCTACAAATAATTTAGACGGTCATCTGCTCGAGTTTTACTTCATTTGACGCTCTTCTCCCATAAATGAATTATTTAATAATATTTTGTTACTTATTAAATTCGTTTTTTAAAAAGCCTAAATATTGAGCTTGAAAACCTCAAACTCAAACGACATTTCCTCTTCAAACCAAACACTATTCTTTTTTTTTTCCTTTTTTAAAAGCTGAACAGCGTTTGACATAGAAGTGAAAATATTCCCTTTTTCCACATTTAATAGGACACTTCAGCTCAAATGACCATGTTTCATTCATCCACGCAGTAAACTTAAAAGTTCTTACTTAAAAAAAAATGACACAAAATTAATTGAGTTTTGCATTTCTAATATTTTGCAAGAGCATATTTATTTTTACGTAATTACCAGTTAATTGATTATATTGATTTTAAATCTTCGTGTGTGCCGAGCTGGTTTTTGTGTGTTAGGCTCCGAATGACACAAGTAAGAGATAAGGTCTGTGTTTTCCCTTTTGCTGGTCATCTTCTCATCCACTAATTACATGATCTCGATGCCCTGATAAACTCCTCTCTTCAGTGCCATGGTGACTTGTCTCACCGGTCTACTGTCATTGTTGCATTATGAAGCAGTGCATGTTTTTCTCTTTGCTGACATGTTCAGTCACATTTCCCTCTTGGCCCGACCCTGCCTCATCAATGATCAAAGTGATTAAGTAAGTAGAAAAAATAAGACCATTGATTAGCTTTGATTATGCAAAAGAAGTAAGCCCAAAAAAACGATCACGGCCCCAGGCTCAGATGGACGTGGCGCTACATCGTGCTGAAGCGATTAGTGTGACGGCAGAAGTGAGGAGAGCGCTAACCTGTTATGTCATCCCCGGCTGATGTGGCAATAAGGTGTCTCAGGTCTCTTAGTCTGTGTTTTATGTGTCCTGGTTTGTGTTTTCTCTGTGTGTGTTTCTTTGTCTCTGTCAAAGCATCCTTGGCACAGTCAAAAGTAAGGGTGTATTACCTTTGCTGCGTGTGGTCAGCACATCCAGAGCCACGCAATAGGCCCGGGCAGCCAAGCTGTATTCCTCCCTCTGGAAATGAAAATTCCCTGTCTCTCGTTTCTGGTTGCCGATGCGAATGCGGTCTGCAATGGGCAGAGTTAATGGGTCCGGTTTCTCTCTGAAGTCCAGCAACTGCAGCTGGTAGAGTAAAGGAGCCCAGGCTGGAATATCAGGCTCTCTGCACATAAACACAAAAACAAACACAGTCAGTATGAAGGAGGCTAGATGCCAGAGGATGGCAGCAGCTTGTAAATGGCCTGTATTTGTATTTACTAGTCCCTAAGGACCCCAAAGCACTTTACACATCCAGTCATCCACCCATTCACACACACTGGTGATGGCAAGCTACATTGTAGCCACAGCCACCCTGGGGCGCACTGACAGAGGCGAGGCTGCCGGACACTGGCGCCACCCTGGGGAGCACTGACCACCACCAGTAGGCAACGGGTGAAGTGTCTTGCCCAAGGACACAACAACCAAGACTGTTCGAGCTGGGGGCTTGAACCGGCAACCTTCCGATTACAAGGCGAACTCCCAACTCTTGAGCCACGATCGCCCCAGCTTGTGTGTGTTCTTAAGCTATTGTCTTAACTGTTATTAAGGCCTTATAACTGTATTACTTTGTGTGCCTTTTTTTCTTGCTCCTTTTCCCCAGTGGAATTGTTTCTACATGAGACCAACTGATGGCACTGAGTACATCAGTAATCCTGAATGGAATGAGTACTGTTATCCCTGATGAGCCAGGGAGGAAATAATGGGGCTGCAGAGCTGGATCTAAGCAGAGAACAAAGAGGAAGAAATATAAATCGTCCATTCCAGCTATCATCATGAGGGCTGTGAGGTATTGGGCAATAAGATCGATGAGCTTGGAGCGCTGATAAAGTCCCAGAGGGAATACCATGAGTGTAGAGTGATGTGCTTCAGGAAAACGTGGCTGAACTTGCACTTCCCAGACCACAGTACGGCACTACTCGGCTTTAAAACATTTTAGCCTTGGAGAGCTTTAATCTGGATGAATTTCACTGTGAATGAAAAGGTGGCGCGATCTTGGACACGTTAGTCTCAAGGAAAGTTTCTGTGACCTAGTTATTGAACTGATAGCTGGTGCTTAGCTTCCAGGATTATTTAGTCATGTCACTGCTTGTGTTTTATCTTTATAGCAAACTCTCCAACAAGAACAAAAGCATCACTTCTCATCCCCTAATGCTGCTCTTAAATTTAAAGACACAGACACAGCTAGAAAGATTTTTATTTTTACAAGATTTTCAGTTGTGGCTTACACCGGTGCATGTTAAAAACGCTGGTACTTATACGGCACTTTTGGTCACATGGTAAATTCCCTAACCCCGTAGGCCCAAGTGTGACATATTTGATACGTGACGTTTTGTGAGTTTTTGACACCTGAAAAACTTGAATAAACTTTTGAGCAAAAGTTATACAAATTTAATTCCAAAAACACTTCAGTTTCAAAAAATTTGAATTTTCAGGCAACTAGTTAATGATTCAGGTTTTACAGAATTAAAGTGACGATCAGTCTGCTATCTTTTTTGTTGCAAGTTTTACCAGTTTGTGTTCATTTATTATAACCTCTTTTGAACACTAGAGTTTATAATAAATGAACACAAAGTAGTAAATAACTGTCATCACTTTTCTGATATTTGACTTGATATTTATGCCTCTCTCTGTGCTGGTACGCTATCAGTACAGCGTGTGTTAAATTTCACTGTATCCAACAGGTCATAGACCTTAAAAGCAACAACTTTAAAGATGCCTGAGAGACCCCGGTTCACTTAAATAGACCAGAATTCGACACTGGTGTGAACTCTGGAGCTGTCAATGTGTTCAGTTCACTCAAGAGTCACTCAGAAGGAAAGTTAATTTGGTTCTCAATCATCTGGCTCCTATGACCACATTGCACACAATGGCCCATTATCAGTTTCTGTGTGGAAGCTCTGATTCAGATTGGGTGTGTGTGCATGTGCGTGCGCGTGTGTGTGTGTGTGTGTGTGTGTGAGAGTGAGAGAGAGGGAGAAAAAGAGACAGAGAGAGCCAAGACAGAAGGCTACGTTTTTAAAGGTTCACTCTGAAACGACTGCAATACGACAAGCAATGAAACAATAATAGAAACTAACACCAAAAGCAAAAGTATTTAATTAAGATCACAACACAAAGGTGTTCCTGCAGACCCCCATTCAGCCTCTGTTTACTGCAAAGTGATAATACAAGGGTTTCTTTAAAATTAGGTTATTAAATATTCACACCGGTTGCGTCAGTGGCACAGTTTCTTTTTGTCTAACGGACCTGTAGTTGTATCCTCGGCCTTATCCTGGAAGGCTGTGTCAGCAGGTGGGATCGGATTACCCTTTCACCTCCCCTCTCTGGAGACCTCATCCACTATCGCAGGACACACAGGAGTGTAAAACCAGCATCTGAGCCAAGCCCTCAGAAACTCGAGCCAGATCCCCGCCCTCACATCTCAAAAAACTCTTTTAGAAGTCTCTTTTAATTATTTAACCTCAATGAGCTGTTTTTGCATACTGCTGCACAGAGCTGAATTGTGCAGCAGGTGTCCGAGAGCAACGGCAGAGACAGAAGTTGAGCTTTTGAAAAACACATGGCCTGTGTTGCATTTTGTAATGTTGGTCTTTCTAATCATATCCCGCTCACGCCATGTGTGTTGTAGGCATAGGAAGAATGTAACACCATCAGTTTGCACCGCACATACTGTAACTGTCTGTACGCTTACTGTAGCTGCTTCTCTCTGCTCTTATCTAAAAATATTACACAATCTCCAGACTGTGTGTTATGTAATAGCGCCTGACATATAACAATAACTCACGCAGAGACCGGCAAACTCCGACCTTAACGTGCCCGGTTCCAGATTAAAGGGGATCTGTGGGAATTCACCCCTGAATCCACTGATTAACCACCACAATCTGAAAGTACATCCAACTAAACTTCTTTTAGTCACCATGAAGACTCAGAATTTATAATCTGTTTTTAAAGTCTGAGTCTCATTAGTTTATTACAATAAGTATGGCTTTCTAGCCAAATATAGCACTAAAATGCCACCAGATCTCAATCCAACACCTTTGGTATACTGGAATGGGAGATTCTGACCATGGATTTACAGACCCTATTAATTCAATGTCAACCAAAATCTCGGAGGAATGTTTTCAGCATCTTGTTGAATCTTTGCCACGAAGAATTAAGGCTTCAGTACAAGCACAGTGTATCTAATAAAGTGGATTATAAAGCTTTGAGTTTGAGAACCACTGCGGACGATAATGATAAACATAAATGTTACAGTGAGCAGCGACTGAGAATCAGTTTATCATTATGTGCATCATTATTATAATCCATCATTATGTAGCGTGGACTTTTGAGTGCTCTATACTGAATAGACTTGCAAATCAGTGCATAGTACAGTAAACAGCAAAGTGTTCTTAAAACTATAAATAGCCTATCACAGAATTAGCTCAAGCTGCTTCACATATTTTTTCTACTTTACAAGAGATTTGGATTCGTTTCTACCGAGAATAGAAAATAAACCTAAGTATCTCATTTAAGAAAGAAAGAAGTTATTTTGTTTGGCCTACAAAGAGATCCGCATTGAATCGAACATTTTGTTCAGAGTTAAAACCTCTCACTCATGTGTCATTAGAGATCAATTTTCTCAGACAGAAGAAACACTTTGCTGCTCATGACTCACAAAGGATGAGACACAATATTTGGGAAGTGATGATTCATCTCTTATTAATCGCTGCAGCCACACAGCTGCTTCAACGTCAACTGTGGCAACCGAATGTGCCACATCAACACTCTACTAACTCCAAGTGATGTGCTACCCTGCGAATGAAACTGAAGTCGCGCACAGGCTCGGGCATTAAACAAAATAAACATGACTTTCGAGATGTTGAGAGTAATCTGAGAACACAGGCTGCTTACAGATCTATAAGGTTTAAAGTGTCATACGGGTCACTGATGATTAGCACCACACCAGTGTGCTACTACGCCGAGTTTAGCCAATGAGCCCCAAGGGTCCTTTTAGTGCAAACAGGAAGCAGAGCCTGTTGGACGGGGTGCGGCCTCGCTGCAAGATCCCAGTGAAACCCGAACCTGTAACTACAGCCCAGGTTAACTTCCTAAAAAGTGAGCTGCAGAGTCAACACCCCCCTCCGCTTACTCCTGGCAGCCTCTCTCTGTTGCCGTTGGAGAAACTAGGGTCATAAATAAATAAATTAATTATTGAAGTGTAATGGTGTAACAATTGCAAATTTTTTGCACTTTCTATAGCAACGGTCCCCAACCTTTTTTGCGCCACGGACCGGTTTATGCCCGACAATATTTTCACGGACCGGCCTTTAAGGTGTCGCGGATAAATACAACAAAATAAAACTAGTACCGGTACCGAAAAAAAGAAGATTTATTCATAACACACGCGAAAAGACCCAGGAAAACCGAGTTAACGATAAAAACGATAACACAATAACGCAAAAAAACCCTAAAAACCATACATTTCACACCTGAGCATCAACTCTCGCGGCCTGGTACCAAACGACTCACGGAACGGTACCGGTCCAAGGCCCGGGGGTTGGGGACCTGTGTTCTATAGAACTAAACAAAGCTAAAAGTTAGATTTAACTATTAAAGGTTCTTTGGTCTGTTTTACGCTCTATTCACCCAAGATTTGTAGCCACGTAGTCTGAACCAGCGAGTTTTGCTGTGTATTTGGTGTTCTATGAATTAAGGCTATGTCCACACGTACACGGGTATTTTTGAAAACTGAGATTTTCCATTTTCGTTTTAAAAAATAATCCCGTCCACACGTAAACGCAGAAGGAAAACACTGCTAGGAACATGCCAAAGCAACAGGTGGCGATATATTCCTAACCGTGCAGAAATGTTGGCCAATCAGAAGTCTAGAAGCCTCGGTGGGAAATAGTAAACAAAGATGGGGCATAGAAGCAGAACCGAGTGGTATGTGTGGAGGGACAGTAACTGTGTGTGTATATGTAAGCATTTAAACACTGCAGAGAGTACAATTAACAGTATTGTAGAAATTCATTTCACCGAAACAATAACGTGGCGCACAGTGTGACGTCAAAAAAGGCGCACACCTTTGACGCTGCGTTTTCTCCGTTTTTCTCGTCCACACGTAAATGCAAAAACTGAGTT